GACCAAATAAAAAAAGGTATCAATATTCAAGGACTATATGTAATGCAATTAGGGATGAAATTGAGAAAAAATAGTTAAAATTTGCCAAAAATGAAACAATTAAAGATCCAAGAACCAAACTTGGGGGACCTTTAAAAAAATGAAATTTTCCCTCACATCAAAATGTCATCATTTTAAATTGAAAATAAATAAATAAATGCAACGGAGTCATTCTGATGCCTCACTTCACTACTATTTGATTGCTTTCCCTTGATCCAAATCTTTTAAGCAAATCATGGCTGGGAAGGCACCAAAATCCCTTGACAGTGTGTGGTTAACGGTATTGTGTGTGATCTCCTGGATGTTTTTGGTGACCGGAGGTCGCTTAAATCTAGGTAATGTAGGTGACGCGTCGCCCTTTAAGAAGTTTTTTTTTTTAAAACAAAGTATTAAGAACTTTATTTTTAAATAAAGCCTAGATACGTGAGCTGCTTTATACCGTGTGCCCAAGCTTTTTTTATTAGAGGCCTAGGAGCTCTTGAACCTTTCTAGTTCGAGAAACTGAGCTTCTTCTTCTTCTTCTTCTTTTTTTAAATTTTTATTCATTATAATTGTATTTTATGTAACGAGCTTTTAGCTAATGACTCCTAGACCAATTGGTCTTAGGGCATTAGGTGTTAAGGCACCCCTACGAGCTTTTAAATATTTAAATATTATTTTCATATATTTTTTAATAAAAAACGTTTTTAAAAAATAATTTTAAATGTCACAGGAGTCATTCGATAAAAGTCCAAATGACAGCTTGGAACATGCTGGCTTGCGTTAGGTGCGCGCGTTGATCTCAAAATATTTCTTTTTAAATACATTGAATAATAAGCTCTCAGAACCACCAAGTTTTCAAGCTATTAAAATATTTGTCAGAGTTATTGATTCCATTTCATTTTTTTCATCAAACTCTCCCCAAGTCCCCCAATGAGTTCGACCATGTACATTTACTTGTCGGAAAGCAAAGGGACCCTTCTCCACTTGGTCAAATATAGGCAGCCTAACCATCTAGCTGATCATTTAGCTGGTGGGTAAATGATAAGAGCTTGAGATTAAGGAGTTTGCTTTCTTTGTGGTCTCAGGTTTAAGTCATTAGTTGCTCATATGATGGCCACTGAAAACTTACATAGTCGTTAACTTCAGAATCCGTGGGATTAGTCGTAGTATGCACAAGCTGGCCCGAACACCCACATTAATCTAAAAAAAAAATATAGACAGCCATTTACCATCTAGGTAGTATTCAATTCAAGTAATAAACAATTAAAATTAAAAATTTTATTATTTTTGTAGTTTTAAATTTAAGTTTTTTATCACTCGAAACTTATCGTTAATTTTAAAATCTATAAAATTAATCATAATATATTAATTTTAAAATTTATAAAATTAATCATAATATTTACAAATTAATACAAATACTCAAATTAATCTAAAAAAAATAGGCAGCCATGATTTTAACATATCCAGCATTTCCTTGCTTCTAGGCCATGGGATGTTTGTAGGCCCAGATTTAAAGCTATTCCCCTACACATATTTGCCTTATCTCAACTATCATTCCTTCCACCAAATGGACATTCTCTGCCATCTTCACCTTCATTGAAACAGAACTTCTCTTTATCCCCTCAACCTTCTTGTTTTTAGCACTCAAAAACTTTTCTGGAAAATCCATCAACTATCCACCAGTTAAAGGCACAAACTTTAACCAGCTTCTCTACCTCGACAGGCACTATGATTGCCAAACTGAGCTTATCGTTTCTAACTCTGGAGTGGATTGTGTATTCATTGATAGTGTATATGGATTTCTTTTATCTATATAAATCAAGTATCAAACATATTCATCCTAATATAATAATAAAATCAATGAATGTACACTTTTTGAAGACATTTTCCCTAATAAAAAGATATAAGAAATTCGTTCACATAAAAAATCAAAGAAAAATAGCTTAGGGGTCTCATCAAACTATAGATAAAAGATCTATAATCACCATCCAAATATTCATTCACTGCTAGGCTATAAATAGACCTTCAAGAGAAAACTGAAAGCTAATAATCACCATCCAAATATCCATTCACTACTTATTGGTTTCAAACAACAATAAAAAAATATAAATTATTTTGCTACATACTTACTTATCTATGTTAATAATAACTTTTATATGTACATTCACAGTTATTACAATTATTAACAAGTTAGAAATACATCAAATTTATGGAAAAATAGGTTTTTTAAATGGTGATTTTAACATAGAGGTATTTATAAAACAACGTAAGAGGTTTGTTGTTAAAAAAAAAAAAGATTTCAATCTTATTAAATTATTATGTAGTCTGAAACAAGCTTAATAAATGTATGAAAAGTTTAATAATGTTATATTATTAAACAAATTTAAAATCAATAAGGTTAATAAAAGTATTTATATAAATAATACAAATAAAAATTATGTTATTTTTTAAAATTTATTTTACATGTAAAAATTTATTTCAAGCAGTTTTCACTAGCATGTGTTTTCTTGTACTTGTATTTTTTTAATCGTAACTGTAAAATCACTGTTATAGTAAACAATATCAAACACATTTACACATTATCCATGAAAGAATTTTAAGATCAACATCAACATCAACAAGGGATGTTATGGAAACTTGCCATGCATTGAGATGTCATTTTAATCGTAAGGCCCTTGAAAGAACATCAAAGTTTCTACCCCTTTGTCCTTTTCCAAATAATCAAAATCCAAACCAGCTACCAAACACAAAAAAAAAAAATGTTTTTGCCCTAGTTAGCATCAATCACCAGCCCATACATTGAATGACCAAAACTAAAACCACCTTCAATCGTTACAGCTATAATAATTGACCGGCAAATTAATGAGGCTGATAAAAAAAATTCGTGTGCTAAAAAGAATTGTAATTAAATCCAATATAACATGTCATAAGATCGATTTCATTACATTACCGTGATATTAAACTCGACCTGGCATTATATATTAATCCGATGATCTGCTAACCTAGATTACTTGATCTAGGCTAGGTAGAAATTAACATGAATGAAAAGTCAACTTTGAATATAATTAAGATCCAACTTAACTTTTTATTTTTGTAAAAAAAAAATAACAACATGGTTTTAATTTTAAAACAACCTTAGAATAGTGTTGTTTTTAATTGATTTGTACCAACTCGGCTAGCTAATAACCCAAACTAAAATAATTTTAGTTTAAGAGTGTTTTAAACTATTGATGATGCAATGCATTTAGGCTGTCGATCCTTTCATAACTTGTTTCAAATTTTGTGTATTTACGTTTGTTGAATCTTTGCTTACCTTCCAATATTATACAGCTGCATGTGACTGAATGCCGGGATTCTTCCTCTCTGTCTTTCCTTTATCTGTTTTTATTTCCCTTCCAAAAAGTAAACTTTTTGCCATACAGTTTTATATTAGATATGTTGGATCTTGCTATCAAATCCTAATATGCATAGAAAAAGCTCGATATTTCAGTGATTTAATTCTTCCAAGAAAGTCGACGGTTGCATTAGAAGAATCTCTATGATGTTCTCTGATGAATGTGAAACATTCCCTTCCCATACCTTCTTTATAATGTTACAAAATTTTCTTGTTTTTAAAAACTTCATGGATGCTTATGATACATTTCTATGTATATTATATTATTAAAATAATTCTCAAATTAATCTCCCATTGAGGTTTACCTAACTCTTTACATCTTCATTCTTCGGACAATTAACGGAACTTATTCTTGCAAACGAAGAGAGAAGGGGAGGACTCAAGTTTGATGGATTCCTAATGTGCCAAAGTAAACTTAAACTCAACATGCATGCTGTTTTTGCTACTGAGAGTTTAAAAACATAATTAAATATGTATCTAATCAGGTTGTGACGATTGAATGTCACCTGAAGTTTGATTTTGTCCCATGATTTTATTCCTCTCCCCGACACAATCAAAATGTTAGGGTTAACGTTAGGGTGCTACGCACAAGGCATCAATCCTCGTTCGTTTCAACGTTCCCTTATATTTGCTCAAAATTAATCAATCATACTCCTCAAATGGTTCCTCCCATCTGCACATATATTTATATCCATAGAATTCAGCCCTGTCATTCACACATGCCTCACCTCACTACTACTTGATCGCTTTCCCTTGCTCCAAATCTTTTAAGCAAATCATGGCTGGGACGGCACCGAAATCCTTTGACAGTGGGTGGTTAACGGTATTGCTACTCCTAGTATTGTGTGTGATATTTCAATTAATTGTGCTTAACATATAAATTTCTAATTCTAAACATTGCAAGTTCTCTTGAAACTGGGAGGAGAAAGAGCTTTAGGACTTTGAAAATCTAAATTTTTATCTTTCATAACTCTTTTTTCTTGTGGCCCAAACATTACTAGGCCCATAGCCTAATAAGACTCTTAAAAGTCCATGAATCCATTATCCCAGTAAAACATGTAGAAATCAACAAAGCATGAATCCATTAAATTAAACTTCTTATAACTTTTTTACCTAAAATTTCTGAGAGTTCAGTGCAGATGTTATCAAATTGCAACGTTGTAATGATTTATTTCAACATTATTATTTTAAATATAAATATATAAAAAAATTATAAGAAATTAATTTCTTAGACATGTTTATATGTAAATATTATTGTTATTAAATTCAGTCAGTTAAATATGTTAATTTGATAACTCGTTGATTTGACATCTAACCTAAGTCAGGTTCTAAAATAAATAATCGGAAATATATAAATAGTTTGATTTAAAAAATCAAAATAATATTATTTTATTTAAATAAAAAAAAACTAAATAACATCATTTAAAACTAATAACTTTGATATATACTAGGGATTAGAGTTTGATAACTTTGATATATACACCTACTTAAATAAAAAGGTTTAATTCAGTAGGGCTTAGGATAAAAATTGATATCCAACTCAGAAAAGCATAAGAATTGTTAAAAAATAATAATAATAATTTCCAAAATCAAACTCATTAGTATCAATTTGTTTTTACTGTTTAGTCCATGAGAGTTGTCGATCACTTCACTTCACTTCACTTGATCAGTCAGTCCCAATTTCCAAAACCAACTTGATCTCTACTTATCACCCCCAACAATAATCTACTTTCTCGACAAAGAAACAAAATTTTCTTATCTGAACCGGTTATCTTGCCCCCCATTGCCCTCACAAATAGCTGGATGAACTCAGGATGCCCCTCATATGTAGCTCCGGTGATGATATTGCCATCAGCAACACAAGCTTTCATGGTTTCAGGATCAACCCAATGAGCGCCAGTATCAATGAGCACAGGTTTCACAGCAGGATATGCGGTGCATTTCCGACCTTTTACTGAATTTGCAGCTGCCAAGATCAATTGTCCATGGCAAACAGAGGCAATTGGCTTTCCTGAGCCAGAAAATTTCCTGACACAATCCAACACAGATTCGTTCATGGCAAGATATTCTGGAGCCCGTCCTCCAGGTATCACCAGCCCATCATATTTGCCAAAATCAACTTCATCGAATGTTGCATTGAGAGTAAAATTATGACCACGACTATCATTATAAGTCTAAAATCAATAAAGTTCCAAAAAACACCTATCAGAACTAAGTTTATGAAATTGATATGTTATGCTTGTACTTTAATCAATCAGTAGACCTACATCCACCAACAGGTTATTAGAAAAACAACACACATAAATTATCATAAAAAAGGATCTTGATGAACACATAATGCATGTAAAATGATCATCACCACAACCATGCAATTATCAAAATTAGCACTCAGCACAATCCATCAAAGAAATTATCAGATCAATATTATCACTACTACACTGCCACCACAACCGCAACCACCATCATCACTAAGATCACCACGGCCACTACAGGCATTCATTTCAGTTATCACAAAATTATTATTACATTAAGAAAATGTCTTTTATTACCTTATTAATTAATCAAAAATTAAAATTTTAATAACAAATATATGTGAAGATTAGTCTCAAAGTATTAGATTTTATCCACTAAACTACCCAAAGAAGACATACAGCAATGATAAAACCCAATAATCTGCACATTAAGAAGTAAAGTGTGAGGTAAGCAATATATATAGAGAGAGAAAAAACATATTTTGAATAAGTTAAAATTAACTTTACAAATCCATAAAAAAGAAAGAAAGAAAAAAACCTTTCTTCTATTCACCAATTATTGAAAAGAAAATGCTAAAACTAAAGCTTCGATGACTGAACTAAGTCAGCAAATTAATAAGCTTTTTCAAAAACAGCCAAAAAAAAAGAATCCAATATGATGATTAAATGTATATAATGAGGGAGTGAGTTCCTGATAACCAGCAGAATCATGAATTGCAGTGCGGCAAATATCCCCAGCTTTCTTGCCAGGGCAAGCAGCATCAACAGCAATCCCATAAGCCTGCAAAGCTTGAAATGGAACCATAGCCTACAAAAATCAAGAAGAACCCACAATTCTTCATGAATCCAAGATTCAAGAAACACTTCAAGATAGATAAAAACAAAAGCAGCCCACCTCATGATCTTCCATGTAATCACCACCTTATGCTGAAAATTAAGCTTGAGCTTGAGTTCTTTCGTAGTTCTATGCGTCTTCTTGTTTTTATTGTTTTCTTTTTCTTTTTTTGTGGAGTTCGTGAGTTTTATAGAAGTGATGATAATTTCGGCGAGAAATGATGTTTTTGTTATTTATTTTTATTTTTTTTTTTATTTTTTTTTTATAAGCATGGCTAGTTCATGTGCTGTTGTGTCGTGATTAACGCAAGGACAGGTCCAAAATGGTTTTATATTTTCAATGAGCAAATAAATTAAGTCATTGTGGAGAATTTGCGACTAAAAATTAAATAATAACGGAATGAGTTAAATGAAAATAAGCAATAACATAAAATAATTAATATTTTTTATTTAATGTTAAAGAGTATCTCAGAGATAGATTATGCTTCAATTGAGATTAAAAAATATTCTTAATATCACTTAAAAATGACTTAATTATTTAGTTTCAATTTTTTAAAAAAATTATTTAAATATATGTGAGTTACCACACAAAAAATGCATTAAATAAACACTGGGAATGCATCTTTAATTTACTTTTTGATAAAAAAAACAACAACATAAGTTTTAGACGGAGAAAAATGTTTTATGGTATAAAAATTGAAAATCACTTTTCATGAAGATCTAAGAACTAAAGTGATATAATATTTCATTATATATATAACACTTTAAAATATAATATTATTAAAAAAATAAATCACTATTATATTTATATAGGAAATAATATATTAGAATATATTAATATATAATATAAAGGGATATTAATTTAATATATCAGTACATATGATATTTCAATTTAAATAATATTAATTAAGAAAACATATTTGAATACAAAACATGTTATATTACTCATAATCATACATTTAAATAATATAAATTGTATTATAAAATTAGGATATCATAGAAAGAAAAATTATTTTTAATGTTATCTAAACACCAAAAAATATTTGATAAAAATAAAACTTTTACTATTTAAAAAAATTAATAACTTAAAATTTATTAGTTTTCAACTTATTTTATTTGATATTTCAAAAGACCAAAAAATAGTTTTCAACTTATTTTTCATTATATAACTAAACATATTAATAGAGTTTACTTAAAAAAAATATTTGACAAGGTTTTAAAATGAAAAAAAATTACTAACATATTTTACTCAAAAATATTTAACAAGGCTATATGTCTATAATATCATATTTAAAATATTTATATTATATATATAGTTATATTTTATAAAATAAACAATATATAAATATGTGATATTCTTTTTTTCTTCACCATTACACTTTCTATATATGTGTGTGTGTTAGATAAACTTGAAAAAACAACATCAATAAGTGATTATCTAATTTAATTTTCATGATATAACTAAATATTTAAAATTATTTTTATGTTACGGTCAAATATAAAAAAAAATAATTTATTTTTTAGAAATATTTTTTCATAAAAACCATTTTAAAATAATTTTTTTTAGCAAAAACCTTAACTTCATATCAATGGATACATAATCTATCTCAAAAGATACTTAACATTGAATAAAAAAAGATATAAAAAAGAAAATCTCAATTATTGTATATGTTATGAACTACTTTTATTTAACCCATTCCTTTGTTAATTATTTTTAATGATATTAAGGACCCATCTTTCATATCTGTTTTTGTCTTTCAAAGAATATTGGACTTGAAGGAATGTTTTGATGATTTTTTAGGATGAGGGAATTTAAGAGAGGTTAGCATTTAAAAATAGTTTTAAGTGTTAACTCGAGGAGGAAGGGGTAAGGAATTTCAATGATTGGAATTTTTTGTTTTCGTGACATTCCCATTTTTTTAATTCAAAATTATTTTACTCTTGTTTATTCTTCCATTTCATTGTTAAATCACAAATGTATGTTGTTTAAATTCTTTATAATCTTATTTAATTTAAAATTAAGTGTAGTTCAAATATCTTTTGGATTGATTAGGTTGTAATTTGATCATATATAAATACATACATACATAACTGAAATTAATTAACAATACATCATCACCATATCATCTTCAAAACGTCATGATCATCTCAGATTCTAGAGAGAGATCACTTGCTTTTCTACTAAGGTTGTTTCTGCTATTGTGCTTACTTCTTAGGAAGTTTCAAGTAAGGGATAGATTCTAATTAGGAAGATTGTTTCCAAAGTAAGAGATAAATGAAAGAATAAGGGAATGTCAGGAACAAAAATTACAGGCGTTTGTGTTGCCTTTACATGCATGCTCGTAGCTAGAAATCAAGAGGTTTGCCATTCTGAAAACTTAACTTCACTCTCATCTCAATCATTTTTCCTATCAACAAATTCTCCTCTCTCCACTCAAAAAGAAAATGTCAGGAACTTTTGCAACCACCATTGCACAATCCCTTATAGGGAAGGTAGGCTCTTTTGCTGGTCAAGAATTTTGTTTGGCATGGGGACTTGAAGCTGACATTGCTCGTCTTGAAAAGAGATTGAAAGCCATCAACGCAGTGCTGTCCGATGCTGAGCAGAAACAATCAAGGAATGACAAGATTAGGATCTGGCTCAACGATCTCAGAGAAGTCTTGTATGATGCCGAGGACGTGCTGGACGAAATCGAGTGCGAAACTTTGCGAAGGCAGGTGGTGAAAACAACAGGGAGCACCAGCAGAAAGCTACGGCGCTTCTTTTCACGCTCCAATAAGATTGCATTCCGTTTAAGAATGGGTCATAAGATAAAGAGCATCATAGAAAGACTAGCTGAGATTTCATCTCTCAAGTCTGACTTCAAAATCAGCGAGCAGGCTATTGATTGTAGTCATGTCTTGCATGAGGAAACAGTGATGAACCGATCCTTTGAGATCTTTTCCGGTCTTATCGGAAGAAACAAGC